CGGATACCACAATATTTCTTTCTGAGGAGAAGAGACTATCTAGGTAGAAATAGAGATGTTAAATCGGACATGAAACCCGCGGGCATAAACGGACCTGTTTTATAAAACTGAGCCCGTTTAGGAGTAAAGTGTCTACTCGTTTAGGCCTGATTATTAAACGGGTTTTGATATAATTAAACCGTCAGTCCGTTTAGGCCCATTCCGTATATATACATGAAATGTGTGTGTATATAGTCGTCGTTTTCTTGCAACTCTGTAAAGTTTGAATGCTCCTTAAACATCAGAAATCAAAATTTTATATTTTAAAATCATGTTGTAATGTCAATTGCTCTTCTATCTCCTGGAGTCGTACGATTTTGAACCCAAAAATATAATTTTAATACAAATATATTAAATTAGTTAATGTAAAATTGCTAATCGGGCCTAAAAGGGTATATATAAGCTCGACGGGCTTTATTGTAAACGGGTTTTATCCGGACTCATTTTTAAACAGGGCGGCGGGCTGCCTATTTTAACATCACTTGGAGGAAATAAGCTTAAATACCAAAAAAGTGGTGAAGAGGGCGGTCCATATATTTTATTATAAACAAATATTAGACTTTATTTGTTTTTAGTAAAATTGCTACTTGGTTTTGGTAATTTTTGCTGAATTTAGTTTTCCTCCTTTTTATAGCTGTTTGAAGAAATTTGAGCAATTTAGGCAAAAATGATGCAAAACAAGCAATTTGGAGTTGGACAGATTTGCAGTATCAAATGTTTTACACCGTATGGACATTTTTTCACCATTGGATCAAGCTCAAATCACATAACAAGAGAGCTGGGAGTGTTAGCTTTCATTTTCATGTCAACTCATGTGAATCACGGTACATGCGTAAGATATGCTCTGAAGATTGGTCGTGATGTGTTCAATCTGAAGTAAGGTTAGCAAGAGAACCCTAATCGATCAATCAACACCATGCAGATGAGTCGGTTGCACATCGAGAAAAGGAAGCAATCAATCTTTTTTCTATAAGGGCAATCGATCGATTGGCCATCCTAAAAGACGAGAAACTTTGATGATTCGACATTATCTCCTAAAATACCCTTAGGTTCGACCCTTACCCTATATAAATATTACCATGAGCCATAACAAACAATGAATCTTTCAAAAATTCTTCATGACCGAAGTCTTAGTGTCTTTTGTTTTGTTCTTCAAGTTTGTTCGATAAGGAAAACGAATTTGACCTCTTGTACATCTTCAAATAAGTGATTATGAACCCTTTTTCTCTTTATGGATATGTTTTTATTGTTTTACGGAAATTACCATAAAAACTTTCATCTAAATTAGTTTTTCCAACTAAAACCTTGAACTTTTTGACTCACCATTTAAAACCTCCAACAATATTTATAATCTATCTAAAACCTTGAACC